CCTCAATTCACCCATACTGTATCTTACTCGTCTACTCACAAACANTGTAAAGCTTTCCGAGTATCACGTAACTTCCTGTGTGAAATTTGCCGACAGAATTCTCACAGATCCTGACCACCCATTGCATGCGGAACTGACACTTTGTCGTTCCCGTCATTCAACACGCTCCCAATTCCGCCAAATTTCATCTCGAATTAATGCATGCCGCAATTCACCCATACCGTATCTTGCTTGTCTATTCATAACCAAAGAGCGGACAATGAGTGAACTTTGTCTAACCCTGGGATTACGGAATGTCCCTATGCCTGTAAAAACTTTTCTCCCCGTTGATTATGAACATTGTGACGGATAGCGTGTTTGATTTTTTAACTGAAATGTGAGTTCCAATGCTTGCAAAAGTTATACACAATACACAATCACGGATTTCCGCCTCCGAAATTCCTCAAATGACCACAATTTAACTGAGCAAAAGAAAAATTACGCAATGATTATGGAACCAACTCCCAAGCAGAAAATAGCCGCGTGAAAATGAAAAAGAGAGAGATAGACTGCATTCGACAAAATAGAAAGATAACCAGTCCCCCACACTAATGGAGAGTCACAAGAAAGCCTGAACATGAAAGGTGGAAACGGCTACGTTTCCTGATAACCGACAAAAACAGTTGAAAACACTATAGTTAATGGTAGATCGGGAAAACAAACTAACAATGGTAAAGTCGGCAAACCTCGAGGGTAACAGTCATCAAGGTGATGTAGAGATGCCAAAAAATTCGTGGTTAACCAGTCGTCGAAGTATTTTAGATCCATAAAAAGACGATTATGGCCATTTGAAAACCGAAAAACTTGGGGTAAAGGAACGTCAAAAGTATGTGTGAAATGGGATGGAGTTATCTGTGGTATGTTGGATTCATTGGATGACCGAGTGCATAGCATGACACAACACACACACACATACACATACACACTTGGCAGTGTTAGACAAACTAGTTCTCGGCAATCGTTTGTTTACAACAACTGCACCACATCTTCAACTAACCGATGCAAGTCTGTTTTCTACGGCTCGGTGGTACCACCACTACCCTCCGAGTGCTTATTGGTTTATGGGAGAGACAGAGAGGGTGAACAGCGGGAGGGGAGAGACATACGTACTACAAGTGTCGGATTTTAGCTGGTCAAAGAAGTACAGTAAATTGTTAACCCGAAGATAATGCAAAAAGTGGATTGCCTACTTTGTTTGCATTACCCCGCCCTCTGTCTCCTTTCCAATGCTACTCAGATTACTGGAGACGGGGGACAATGCTTTCCTTAGGCAATCCTACCTCTGCGTACCAGATAAGGTGACACAAAAATACACACCGGATACTGATGTGGTCAGATTTTGCTTCAAGTTTCGGACGTGGATAAGCAAAAACCAGGAAATATACATTAACAGGTCGAGATAAACGAGGACAGAGCGAGATCGCATGATGATGATGATGATGATGATGATGAATCACCACCACCGGTCCTACTACTCGCGGAACTGCGCGTCCCGGTCCGACAAGACCAAGTAAAATGTCTAATGAGATATAGACAAGAAATGAGTAGGCGGATAGCTCGCAAGCAATGTGACAGTTTGTTCACCCGGATACCGTTGGTGCGGGACGGGTCAAGCACATGTTTACGGTCGTCAAGTTTAGAACCCATGCGCATAGTCAGTTCAATTTAACCGTTTGTGATATTCGTTGGAA